CGTTGAGAGGAAGTCCCCAGAAGAAGTTCCGCAATCCAGTTCTACAGAAACAGCGCTGGTTATAAAAAGGCAGGTGATGTCAACGGATAGGAAGAACAAAGTATCACGAAAAAAGTAACGTGCTACACCGTCATAATGATTAATTATACTTATTTAAATATTTTTAATTATAGACCTACAGGCAGTTTTACTAAACAAAACCAATTGGGTAAATTGGTTAACCCGGAGAAGCAAATAAAGCATGCCCTGAAAAATTTGTCCAGCGACGAATGGTAATCTATTGACAGCTTCTTTTGGACCTGTTTAACTCTGATAAAATCAGTCGTTGAATTGCCAGTCTTGTTGTTCATCCAACTTTAAGTACCTTCGCTTCTTCATCATTCCCAGTGGGTTGTCTGAATATGAGATTACGGCTCACGTGGCAGGAGCGAAAACGTCTTTCCTTAGGCTGTACAAACTGTTGTGGAAACGATGGGAGATCCTTTTGAAGACGTAATGCTGAGTTTCGCAGACCTCCATCCGCTCCTTCCTCCTGCATTGATGCGACAACCGCTTCGTATGAGTCAATGACGTAAGAAAACTACAATCTTTAGATCATCGGTGTCTGAAATCATTTCGACTTAACGATTTATCGACCGTAGATCTAAAGCCACAATTCATTTGAAACATCATTCAGGTCTCCACTTTCTTGAAAGAACGATGATTACGTTCGCTGAGGCACGTGTTGAGACGTCCTCCAGAGGATATCAACTTCATTACATCTTCACCCCTATCCCTGGGCTTTGCCTTGGCGGAGGCAGACAAATTAAGACCTGGTAGAGCGATGTCAGAAATGGTTTTCGAATTTCTCTTTGGGCCGGAAGTGTACGACTACGAACGGTTGAAGAAAGACTGGTTGAACTATGCGGTGGGCATCGTACGTCAAAGACAGAGGTGAAGCGCAGAGATCCAGGACGTCATGGTCACTTGAGCCGACAGTAATGTTGATGGTCGTAGCAACAGCAGCGCCATGCAGCTTTCAAATGGCTAGAATTTGAAGAATTTGAAAGTGGCCTAAAAAACAGTGGAGGAACACAGTAGTTTGAAGTGGTCAACTATTCAGTGCTGGCGCTTTAAATCTCTACAACTTACATTGACCTGTTTAAATCAACGATCACATCATATGCCAAAATAAAAACAGCATGCAAAAAAATTTATAAAACATAGTACCTGCATCCTGTATCACGCGGCACACTAGCGTTATGATGCTTTATATTTTGCTCAATGATTCTTTCATTTTCAGGAAGGACAAAGTTGACGGCATGAAGGCTATACAGCAACTGTTACAGGGCAGCGGAAACTTGATTTTGCAAAATATGGACGCGGTGATTTTGGCTTTGAACGCAGAGGTAAGGAGGACTCGAGGTTCGCTTCAAGAACTTACCATCCGCCAACTAAATCGAGCTTTAGGTGCAGAACCTCCGTTCGACCGTATCACGTCAAGCGATGCACTGCTATGCAGAAATGTTCCACTGCCTCAAGACTTCGATGGACGGCGACATAGACAAAATATGTGCCGTTCTAATGTCGAAAACCGGTGACGTCACCAGTGCATTTATACGCAACAGCGCCATGAAAGCTCTGGAAGAAATGGTTGACAACGCGACGCCGACCAAAGTCTTGAATGCCTTTCTGAAGTTTGGATCAATGTAAGCATCGCCTAAGTATTAGCGATGGCTTTGACGCAGTTCATGACTCAAGGCATGTGGTCATAGCCTGAGAATCAAAGAATAATTATCAGAGGGAAGCTCATTATTTAATCAATGAGACACGGAGGGGCGATTTGCATTCCGACAGTCGATGGCTAATTCGGTTAGACCGGCACTGGGGGGGGGGTATTA